CTGTCTGCTTGTTCGACTTGTGCTTCAGCTACTGTGAAGGCACATCAGGAGGGCTGTGGAAGGCACATGGGCTTGCAAATTTAAATGATTGTTGTAGTGTGCTTTTCCTTCCTGAAACCAAAAGGTGATAATTAGTCTGTATGTTCATTCATCCGTTCATTAAACAAACATAAGTGGATTGCTTTCACTATGAAACAATCAAGACGCTTATGATTCCGTCAGCTGAATGAGGCTAGTCAACGTTTTCTCCCTTTTTTCTCTTGAGATGTGTCTTGTTCACCCAGGATATGCAATCAATACAATGTCAGTACCTAACAAATCGGTTGTTCCTGAGGCCTATGGCCTGGTGTAGCTCCAGCTCCCTCTTCCATTCAGGAGAGTACAGCAGAGTGAACAAGGAGAGGAAGACACTGAGAGTGTAACCTTGAATTCATCTAACGTGAAAGGAAGCCTTTTGCACACTCCCATGGTCCAAGAGGTACTGGTGATGAGCTGTTTACAGAAGATTTCACAGATGACTTTCAAACGATAGACGTCACAATAAAATGCATGGCTGCAGACGCAAAGGCAGCACTGAATGCTTCTTGTGACTGACGTGCTCGTGACCTTTTTATTTTACCTCAGATACCATGGTTCTGCTCACTCAGCCAATCCAATGGTTCTCCAATGTCACCATGCATCAGAATTGCCTGAAGCGCTTGTAAAGACTTACAGTGAGGTTGGCTAGATGGTTCAGTGGGTAAGGGAGCTTGTTGCTAAGCTAAACCTGACGACCTGCGTTTGATCCCTAGGACCCACATGATGGAAGGAGAGAACACTGATTCCTACACGCTGTTCTCTGACCATCACACAAGCACGTGACCCATGACCTCTACACACACACACACACACACACACACACACACACACACAGACACACACACACACACACAGACACACACACACACACGCGCGCACACATACACATACATAGACACACACATAGACACACAGACACACACACACACACACACAGACACACACACACAGACACACACACACACATAGACACACACACAGACACACACAGACACACAGACACAGACACACACACACACATAGACACACACACACACATGCGCACACACACACACACACACATAGACACACAGACACACACATACACACACACACACATAGACACACAGACACAGACACACACACACACACATAGACACACACACACACACACGCGCACACACACACACACACACATAGACACACAGACACACACATACACACACACACACATAGACACACACATAGACACACAGACACACACACACACACACACACAGACACACACACACAGACACACACACACATAGACACACACACAGACATACACAGACACACAGACACAGACACACACACACACACACATAGACACACACACACACACATGCGCACACACACACACATAGACACACAGACACACACATACACACACACACACATAGACACACAGACACAGACACACACACACACACACATAGCACACACACACACACACACACACGCGCACACACACACGCGCACACACACACGCGCACACACACACGCGCACACACACACACATAGACACACAGACACAGACACACACACATATACAAAAAAATAAATAAATAAATAATAGACTTAAAATCTAACTGTTCTGGTGGAAGCCCCACCTCTCTGCCCAGACCCTGCCCCTCAGAAAGTCCCGCCAAACACAGCTCCTCCCCCAGAGATGCTCAAGACCACTCCCACAGGGTATTTAAACTGCCCCCCAGAAACAGACAGGTGGTTTTTTGGTCTCTTGTCCCTGTCTCCTCTCTGGGGGACTGGAGAATCACCTGGGAACGCTTTACCCTTTAAATGGGGACATTTTCTAATTCAGTCTGATTTGGTCTAATTTGGATTGCTACATTGGTAGAGAGGCTTATTGGGGTGCAAAAAACTTTTCAGTAATTTTTAAAAAATAAAAAAAAATAGACAGCACCTATTGTGCTCAGTGCATTATAAAACAAAAGACTGTAGAGGACATGAAATCGGGAGGGAGAGGGTGGTGGTGATCTGAGAGGAGCTGATTTGGGAAAGGGTGGATTTAATCTGAGTACATAGTGTTCATGTGTAAAGTTATCAGAAAATGTATGTTAAAAGTTGAACAGTTCTCGGGTGAGGGTGATGCTGGAACCACACTGTGAGAAGCAGAGGCTCGTGTTCCTTCACCAACACATTTATTAAAAGCCAACCAGGCTCCAGGCAACAAAGGAAAAGTAGCAGAACCGACTTCATATGCATGAACACTTTCCCCACACTGTGCTAAAATCTCTACAAAGACATGATTTGCCCCATTCGTTTTAAGTTGGCATCTTTCTCCTATTTTAAATATGAAAATATCACAACCAAAAGCAATGAATCAATCTGACAGATCATGTGCATATGAGTCAGAATTATGATCTGAACTGGCAAAGCTTAAAAAAATAAAAAATATAGATAAAAAATTTAAAATGAATAAATAATAGCCCTGAGTGAAAAGTACTTACAAGGAAATAGAATTTATGCAAGGTTGAGGAAAGAGTTACAGTCCAGGGTACACGCCAGGGCAAGCCATAGCAGTGGGCTGCACACAGAGGGAGGGATAAGAAGTTTTTGTTGGAAAAAAAAAACCAAAGGAGAAATATGCATGAGCTGCTTGGCTGCAAAATGCATTGGTGTGGGAGATCTGAGGCCAGAGCTGTCAGCCCCGAGGTGGATCACTCAGGAAAAGCTTCTTTTCTGAATGGCTGACACTTAAAATCATGCTAAAAGTAAGGAAATCAGTGCAGAGTGTGGAGCACATGCTGAGGAGGAGTCAGTTCAGGGAGAGTGTGGAGGACATGCTGGGGAGGAGTCAGTTCAGGGAGAGTGTGGAGCACATGCTGGGGAGGAGTCAGTTCAGGGAGAGTGTGGAGGACATGCTGGGGAGGAGTCAGTTCAGGGAGAGTGTGGAGGACATGCTAGGGAGGAGTCAGTTCAGGTAGAGTGTGGAGGACATGCTGGGGAGGAGTCAGTTCAGGGAGAGTGTGGAGGACATGCTGGGGAGGAGTCAGTTCAGGGAGAGTGTGGAGGACATGCTGGGAGGAGTCAGTTCAGGGAGAGTGTGGAGCACATGCTGGGGAGGAGTCAGTTCAGGGAGAGTGTGGAGGACATGCTGGGGAGGAGTCAGTTCAGGGAGAGTGTGGAGCACATGCTGGGGAGGAGTCAGTTCAGGGAGAGTGGGGAGGACATGCTGGTGAGGTTCATGTTTGTCTCCTGTATGTTTGAGTTGGCCACTGTCCCAAGTCTGTTCTGATCACAAGTAAAATGTGAGTTTTCCCCCTCATATTTTCCTGGCTTTTCACTGTCTCTGAATCCGACAAGAGTGACTTCATCCATTTCTCAGATCTGGGGCACTGGAATCCAGGTGGCACTAACTGATACCGTTCTATAGCCAGTGATGCCCTGTAACACTGAAGAGTTTTACACATTCGAAGAGTGTTGTGGGTCTTTGCAGATATAAAACACACAACTAATGCTCCCAGAGATTAAATCATTAGTCCAAACCCACGTTGCTAGGAAACATCTTACAATTTAATCCCAGTCTTTTATGGCCTGCCAACCTTTATCCATGCCACCTTTAGTTCAAAATCAGAGTCAGATTAAAGAATATGACCCCAGGGGCTCCAGCGATGCTTAAGTGATGCACTTGCCTGAAGCACAAGAGCCTGAGTTCCACTCCCAGAACCCATGTGAAAAATCCAGGCCTGGTTAGCAACAGGGAGGCCTCAAAGACCACATGGGCCTCTGCAACCCTGAGCCAGGCTCTGAAGGAAGGGTTTCGAACCTCCTTAAACAAACAAACAGCAAAACCAAGCAAGGTGGCATGCACTGGTAAACCCAGAGCTGAGGGTGGATCTTTTATAAGCTCCTGGCTCTTTTATAAGCTCCATGACAATGAGAAACCTTGTTTCAAAAAAACCATCGTCTTCTGGGCTCCTCATACACAGGCATCCAAACCTGTACCCATGAACGCACACACACTTCTGAACCTGCACACATGAACATACACACATCTGAACCTGCACACATGAACATACACACACACATACGACTCCTAACTAACCAGGAAGCATTGAAAATGGGAGGTTTTGTCTTGTGTTATGGTTAACAGACAAAACTCTGGTGTTATCTCACTGAAAAGCCTTCTGGTATTTGTGGGTTCACTCTCCACCCTTTTAGGCATGGTATCATGGAAAGTCACCTTGATGACTCAAGACCTTGCGTGTCTCAGAACCACCAACAGCAGCAGTGGCCGCCACAGTCTTTCCTGAGAAACATCGTGGGAGATACAGATACGGGATGCTGGAGGTTGGCATGAATGTGTAGACAGCTCAACCGTATTATAATCCAACTATGGTTTAACCATTTAACTTTTCTCATTTTTAAAATTGCATTTATTTACTTATGTATTCATGGAGTACACGCAGAAGTTACCACAGCATACATGGAGATCTAAGAGGACAGCTTGGGAGAATCATTTCTCTCCTCCCACCAGGTGGGTCCTGGGGACCCAGGTCATCAGGCCTAGAGTCACTGGCCCCTACTTTTTCTATAATCAGAATCAAAAGGGGTCCAAAAGTAGGACTAACCAAATGTTTCAGCTGGGTGGGATTCAAATCACCCAATTTGTGTGCATAGTTAACAAGCACCATTAAAAGTGACCATTTCTCTCCTTTATGACTTGGTCAGTCACAAAGAATGAAGCTTTCCCTGATCCCTGTGCACGGCTGTTACCCCATCATCAGGGAGAGAAACGAGCTGTGTAATTACCATCTGAGACATGAATCATCACTTGCGGGGCCCAGACCTGCGTGAGTCTATAAAACGAACTCCGGTCCAGGTGCAAATGTGCATGCCTGCCAACCCCAGGGCCGATAGGATTGCTAAGCGACCGAGAGATGAAGGTTTTACCCGCCTCTGGCCTCGCTGTCCTTGTCACAGCACTAAAGTTTGCCACTGCAACCCCCACCCTACTTGCAGCCACCCCCAGGACCTTCAGGAGCAGCTACCACCTCGCACAGGTTTGTGACCCTCTGCCCCATCCCCTCATCCTTCTCCTAACCCAGAACATCCAACAGGGCACAACGAGAAAGTCAACAAAAATCTATTCTTTTTGAAAGTCATTTTAATCTCCACAGAAGCCTGATGAACCACACCATCTAAGATTCATGTCTGGTGCTTATCGGGTGCATGTGTTCCGTGGATGCATTAATGATTGGATAATTGTCTGTGTAGGTGTATCACATAATGCAGAACTGGAGTGGGGTTATAAAACATACAAAATTCAAAAGCAAGTATTTAAGGAAAAATAAGATCGGAAATAAAAAGACTGGGAATTTTATGCTCAGTGCTCAGCAGTCACAAGGGAAGGGGGTCTTAGGTTCACACTCTGAAACATGACTTTTGTGCTCAAGGTAACCTTGGTCAGAATTTAAGGTAGGCCAAGCTTCCTTCTCATCAGAGGGTCTTTCCTCCCTAAGCTGTGTTTCTCCACAACCCTTACCCCAACTTCCCTTCCCCCCTGTGCTCTCTTGCACCTGACTGTGATATGAAGGAACCTACTGTGGTGTGAGGGGTCTGAAACAATCAATTATACATCAGAATTTTGTAAATATTTCATGGCTGAAAATCATCCCAAATGCAGGAAAGTCTGTTAAAGGAGAATAGTGATTCTTGACCTGTAGGAACGAATTTCTATGACAGATTGCTAGCTATAGTGAAAGGTGTTGTAGATGTGCCCCCGGGCCTCTCGTGGGAGTCTCATGAAACTGCAGCATGCCTGTGATTCCATCTCCGCCTGGGGCTGCTGTCCTGTCAGCTGAGGCTGGAGATCTGTCACCTGGGCTCCCTGGACTGTTCCTACCAGCTGTTTTGCCTCTCGCCCATTCCAGTCGATCAGTTTCTCTTACAACATGAGAGAATTCAGGGAGCATTTGCAAAAACAGGCCTGCATTTAAATAAGCAAGTTCAGCTCAACAGTGGATGCCAACATCAACACTAGATGCCCATGTATAGATGAATTCAATTCAAAGTAGCTCCAGGTACTCAAACTGTCAATTGTGTTGTGCTGGCACTCTCTGTGGGTCCTCTCCCTCCAAATGTCGTTCCCCCTCCAGATTAATGCTCTAGTTCAGAAACCATAAAGCTTTGTGATACCCACTTCCTGGCACACGCAGCAGGTGGTGCTCAGCCAGAACAGATCTGAGCCAGTGGGAGGTTCTAACACTAGTCCAGGATTTGGGTGAATGTCATCCTACCCGCCAATCTTGGCCAGACCATTAGATTACAGGCTGTTGTGCTATAATGGCTGACTACAGTCTGCAGAACCAAAAATCAGCCCTTTACCGAAGGAATAGATGGTCCCACTGTAAACAGGACTAAGGTCAAAAAGTTCTGGTGAAGCCATCTTTGCTGGTCTGACCAGGTTGGGGGTATGGGGGCACATTTCAAAGGAACAGTGCGACTGAGGCTGGGGCTGCTAGACATCCTTAATTCTTCTCTCTAAGCAAGTCTCTGTAACGCCCTTGGGATCATGAAACTTGTCCATCCCTTGTCACCGGGCACACAGAGGTTCCTGTTGCAGCTAGCCCAGGCATCCGCTTTGGAAAGAGCACTTTCTTTAGGCGGCCACAAAGATGAAGACAGATCTCTCATGTTAAACTAGAAACAACTTATGTACCATCTTGTAGCTTACAGAAACACCCACCAGCCTTGTGAGCTTATAGAATCACAGATGTAAACAAGGAGTTTATATTGTTACCGATCATCTCTCGGCAAAGCGTGGGTGAGAAGAAGGAGCCCGTCTCTGCTCTCACGGCACTGACCGACAGGAGCGAGGCTGAGGAGAGAAGGCAAACACGTCACTCAGGTGCACGAGCTTGTTTCAGAGAGTGGGAAGCGATACTGGAAAGAGGCTGACTGACTGGGGCTGTCCGGGGAAGCCTCTCAGGGAGAGCCACATCTGGGATGAACCTCAACTGCAGAACGAGCTAGAAAATCCTGGAGACAGAGCAGGCTGGCAAAAGCATCCTCAAGTGCAGGAGTCCAGCATAGAGGAGTGTGGGATGCAATCACTGTGTGACTAGAGCTAAGAGACTTTGGGAGAGGTCACTAGATCATGGGCAACTAGAAAGCATCTTCCACACTGTTCTTTTCTTTCTAAATTGCTAGCTAAGAAATAACTCCAGACCCCTGGGTCCCCAAACCCACAGACATAAACATCTGCATTTGAGAGCTTAAATAGCTCTTGTTTAATTTATTTAATGTCTAGTTGTATCCTTAAATTCTGGTTTGTTAATCTGCATTTGGGCTTTGAAATGACAGAACGGGACTGTAGATATACTATGAACTGAGCTGGGGATGTAGCTCAATAGTGGTGCACTTGCCTGACATGCCCGAGGTCCTTCATTCAGTCCTCGGCAGTACACACACACCCACACACCCACACACCCACACACCCACACACACACACACACACACACACACACACACACACACACTCAGAGAGAGAGAGAAGAAGAAACTATGAAATGGAATAATGACCAAATGCCTGCCTCTTCCTACAATTGAGGATTTATTTTAAGGTTTGTTTTTTTAAATAGTGCAGATGTTTCCGGGTTTATGGTGGGGTTGAATCTTCATAACCTTCCCAATACACGAGTCCAACAGCTTATCAAAGCCGCTGTTGGACAACACAGCTAGCTGGTGTCCAGCTTGCCACTGTGTGGCTGGGAGCTGTGGTCGTGGCTGAGGCTCAGGAACCAGAGGCAGAGGCTCCCCACGCACTGCCAGCCGAGGAAGACTATGAGGGAAGTTTTGAAGAGTGGCTTGTGCTGAGGAGGCATCACTTTCACAGGGTCATGAAGTCGAAACTCATGAACTCTCCCTATTGGAACATGGGGACTTCCTAGTGGTGTTGACATAACATTGAAAACAAGCTGCTAAAGTGTCTCTAAAAGTAGTATAAATTCTCATTTACACATGATTATGAAAAGTTAAGCCATCCAAAAGAGACTCCTAGATTCTGTAACCATTAATACCACTTCCTTTTCTGTAATAAAGAATTTTTTAATTGTTATTATCTTTAAATTTTGACTTCTACTTATCTCACTGAATATTATACCATAAAAACATTTTGACTTTTAAACTATTTCCATAACTTTATTTTTAAAGAGTTACAAATAGGTGCTAACGAGTTGCCTCAGAGTTCAGTTCTCAACATCCACATGGCCACTCACAATTACCTTGCAGCTCCAATTTGAGGACATCTGATACCCTCTTCTGGACTCTACAGGCCCCTCATGCACATGGCACATACATTCACTCAGGAACACACACATACACATAAAATAAAAATATATATATTTAAAATACTTTAATTATCAAAAAAATCACAATCATTTCTGAATACAGGTACGTTATCATTTCCTTACCCATTTCTTTTGTTAAAGAAACACATTGTTACCCTCACACTGGTGTGATCAGTAGGTAAGACAGTTGGGAAGGCTGGAGCTGGCAAAATAAAGCTAAAGTAGAGAAATTCAAAGAATTCCCCTGGGCTCTTTGTGTATAGCCTGCACTCAGACAACACCAAAGTCCTTACGAATCTCTTTCGGTGACTCCAAGAGATAGAGGGAATGTTGGAGAAAGCACACCCTGGTCATTCCTCAGACCGGTGACACTCAGGAGGAATATTTCTAAATGTCCTAAGATGCTTCAGGGAGCCCGGACCACTGGCCAGCAGAAGCAAGCCCTCCCGGCCTCTGTCATTGTCAAGCACTAGAAAAGACGTGGGTAGAGGACTGCTTGAAGCGAATGCTAAGACTTAGTGACTTTAACTGCAGGGAGGGGCAGAGGGTGGGAGTTGTCAACGTCACAGCGTGAAAGTGGAGGCCTATAAAACAGAACAGTTCTAAGTGTACCTCTGCCAAATCTTGACTCCAGAATGGACGCCAACGCCTTGTCAACAACTCTGGCAAGAAAGTCCCCAGAGTGCTAGGCTCTCCCTGACTTAGAACATATGGCAGTCCCCAGAAGCGGCGTTTCATACTATAGCCGAGGAAATCACTAAACCACCTTCTCCTTGGTGCCATTTCAGTGACAAAGTTTTGTCTTTTTGTTAAGCAGGAATAACCTTTGAGTTTATTTCATTAAAACTGGCTGATCTACTTCCATCTACTAAGTTCAGCCTTAAACTTTTGACACTACAGGTTTGGCAACCTGTGCATATTTTAAAGGAAAAGAAAATGTTATAAACATTGTGTAGATTCATAGGAGAAAACATAAAAACTATAATCGAAAGAGAAATGCCAAAGATCTAGAATCAGCATGTAGCACCGTGGCTTTCAGATAACTTCAGAAAACATAAAAACTATAATCGAAAGAGAAATGCCAAAGATCTAGAATCAGCATGTAGCACTGTGGCTTTCAGATAACTCCCCGTTACTCAGGGCACGGCTTTGACAAGGCAAGCAAGGACTTGGTTTTGGTTTTGAGGTTTGGGTTTTTTTTAACTTTCTATTTATTCTTTGAGAATTTTATACATGCAAGCAATATATTTCAACCATATTCACACCACCCTCTAGCTTCTCCCAGATCCTGCCAACATTCCTCACCCCAACCTCACACTTTGTCTTTTTAAAATGGCCCTCTGAGTCACTCAGTGCCCCCCATGCATCACAGGTGTGGGGCCATCCCGAGAAGCAAGACCAACCTGCCAGGCACCGCACCCGTAAGAACACTGAACCCCCATGCCAGGGGTGGGAGTCTCCAGTCGTCATTTACTCCTCCCCAATATGATCCTGCTAGTACTCAAAATTTTGAGGGTTTTTTAGGGCTTTTTGCGTTGATTTTAGGGGGGTGCCCAGTGTACAAATGTGTTTTTTGTTTGTACAAATGTGTTATTTCTTTTGATTGTTGAGTCTTTGGAAACTTCCCACTGGCTTCCCTGTGTCCTTGTTGGTGACTATGGCACTTTAATAATAGCAGTAAGTGTGGGTTTTGCCTAATTTATCATAAATATTCCTCTTCTATGGTCACATCTCATAAAGCAGACATCAGAATGTCGAGTACAGCACATTCTCAAACATGGGGGGGGGGGATACTCAAAACTGAAACCCTTTCAGAAATAGAGCATCTGGTCTTAGATGCAGTTCTCCGTTCTCCAAGGAGTGTAACTGAGACATCACTCAAGCTGCCACAGCATCAGTTTGCGCACAACCAGAAGGCCTCCACGTGGCTTCATCCTCAAAAAGAAAGAAAAAACAAACAATAGCAACAACAACAACAAAAAACCCATAAAACTCCTGCCACAGATGGGGTGGAACCAGAATCACCCCATGTGTCAGAGCTCCTCATCCATAGAAAGGTCTAAACTAAAAAAAAATTCGTTTCAGATTTATTTTTATTTATGTGTATGTGTTTGTATGAGTGTGTGCCACATATGTGTGTGCTCACAAAGTCCCAAAGACAGAGTCAGATCTCCTGGAGCTGGAGTTACAGGTGGCTGTGAACCACTGACCTGGGTGCTGGGAACCAAACTCAGGTCTCTGGAAGAACATCAAGCACTCTTAACGGTTGAACCATCCCTCTAGCTCCTTAGCTAAACTTCCTCATGGGGGATCACCAGCAAAGTCACCTCCTCTTACCGGCAGGACGGGAATGTGGAAATAGAGCATGAACATATCAACAGCCAACTTCACCACAGAAAACTGTGGGTATAGAGAGCACGAAAGGGAAAGTACTAGTCTGCAACTGCCCCGCCCACAGTCAGTCAACACTGGCACTCAGACATCCCCGCCTCCCTTCACTGTTCATGGCATGCACTTTACTTCTGAGATTGCTCTTCTGTTTCACTCTGTGTGCGCTGCTCCATTGAGAGCATTCTCTATGCCATTAAATATTTACCTTCTAAAAACATGATCTTAATATGGACCTAGTTTTGTGTCACATAAATATATAATAATCTTCCTAACAAGTCACACGTTGTAGGTGGGACGCAACACAGCAGCAGAGCACTTGCACAGCAAGCCAAAGTCTCTGGGTTCACTCCCCAGCACTAAAAGAAGTACACCCCTGTTGTAAAGCATGAAGTTTGCTTTTATGGATAATTGAATCTATGGTTAGGATGGAAATAAATATTTTATTTATTCATAAATTTTTTATAATATAATACAACACATACAATCAATAATCAACTAAACTAAATATAAGATTCTAAATCTCTAGCTGCATTGGACAGGGGAAATTCCTGGACCAAACATGGGCCTCAACCTTGCATATGTACAGCCCTGTGCAGTTCAGGGCACCCTAATCCCAATCTAACGTCCACAACAGGGCGAACAAGGTATCCTAACGGGTTTGAAGTCTGTATGTGTGGGTGAAACTTGATCATTTAGGGAGGGGATTAATATTTTTTCTTAATTCTTTGAGGATTTCATACACGTATGCAGTATATTTTGACCATATTCATCCCCCACTGCTCCCCTCTGACCCCTCCTGGATTCTTGCCAAGTCTCACTCCCAACTTCATGTCCTCTTTTCTCTCTCCTTTTTTTTTTAACCCTCTGGATCTAATTGGCACTACTCACATGCACAGAGGCACAGGGCCACCCACTGGAAGGTGGTCAACCTACAGGGAGTCATACCCCTAAAGAAAACGGCCCTCCTTCCCTCGGTAGCCGTCACTGGTCTATACCTAAGCTAGGGAAGGACTCGTGTGCTGCTCCTGTATCCATGCTGGAATATTGACTGGACCGATTTTGGGTAGTCACAACTGTACCAGGTAGTGGTCCTGTTGTGTCCAAAGGACCCTGTCTCTTCCAGTCTTTCCACCCCCTGTTCCAGAATGTTCCCTGAGCCTCATATGCAAGAAGCCTAGTACCTTATGGCTTCTTTTCTTTGCCTCAATGGATAGCGAACCTGATCAGGAAACCAACCCTATGAAAACAAAGGTCACCCACAACCCACGAGAACTAGTTGTCCTCTTTGTGTCTAATGAGAGGCTGAAGCGTAAGTCCTCTTGGGGAAAGACACTCATTTCACATTATGTGTTATGTGTTCTACACCATGTGATTAGGAATGACGTGCCAACATCAACCTGTGGTCTCCACATGAGCCCACACAAGCAAGTGAACCCACACACACACACATATGTATACCACAAACACACCCAAAAGCTGTAGGGGTTTGGGGATAACAGCCTACAAGCCTTAGTATTTAAAGGTAATCATTAATAACTTTGGATATACCTGTTTAATCTATGCAAATATGTCTAAGTTTTTTAAATACACCCTACTTTTACATCAGAATATTGCCCCTATCTTAGCTGAGTAGGAGTGTTCTCCAACCACACCATGGATGTGTCAGCCTGCCTCTCCATTTCAGGAATATCTTGACAAGTATTACACACAGAGAGGAGGCCCTCAGGCTGCTGAGATGGTGGTAAGAGGAGGCAAGCCCATGGTCAGGAAGATTAAGGAGCTACAATCTTTCTTCGGCCTCCAAGTCACTGGGAAGTTGGACCAGAATACAGTGAACGTGATCAAGAGGCCTCGCTGTGGAGTTCCTGATGTGGCTAACTACCGCCTCTTCCCAGGTGAACCCAAATGGAAAAAAAATATTTTGACATACAGGTAATGAGATTGAGTCTTTCCCAATTCAAAGAGAAAGACACACTTCACCCTCTTCTTCTCTTTCCAAGCTCTCTTCCTTTTGATCTGTATGAAAGGCAGAATCCACAACAGCTGTTTGTTTGAAAATTCTAATCTCAGGATAACTGTCCACCTCCCCCATTACAGACCTGGTCAGCTGGGAACAACTCTTAGTTTCGAGTTAAGTAACCCATGGTAGGATTGATAACCTTTTAATCTGAACTAGTCAAATGAGAGACCACCTCAGAAGAACAAGGTGGATGTCTCCTGAGAAACAACATTGAAGGTTGGCCTCTGCCCCCCCACACACACACACTGCAAACGACTCGTTAATACAATTCATTCCTTGATTCCACAGATTATTTCCTGATGACTTTGGCTACTGTAGACACTCAGTTTATGGAGTGTAAAGGTGAACTACTCATCTTTCTCCTTTCTAGTCTTAGGGGAGATAGACATGAACAGGGAGAAAGAGGTGTCCTCATAGGCCTCAGTGGGCTCTGGGGCAGCAGTGGGGGCAGTTGGCCTGTCATACAGAAGTGACACCTGACCCTGAGCTGAAGGTAGTTGCAACTCCAAGCCCCATTCCACATCTTCCTCTTTAGACTGAGACCCGCCCCAAGGCGCTTGTCCCTCCCCCTTTGGCTCTGGGTATGGAGAGCAGATACCCCACTCCAGCTTCCTGAGCCAATCCAGGTTAGACCTCATTCACAGGTTAGACCAAAGTACATCACCCAAGGTGCCCAGCCTCAGTGGGCTTGAAGGAAGCAGGTGACGCTGTCACGCTTGGGCCTCACACAGGCCCCAGGGGTGTAGCTTTGGGTGGTTCAACAACAGATTTCTGTAGAACTTAGGCCATTTCCAAGCAGAAAACCCACCAACCAAGCTGAGTGAGATGGGCTGAGTGACAGTTCAGTCCCAATGCCCAAGAGAGTGTGCAGCACGGAGTGGTGGGAACCGAGGCTGGGGCGGGGGAGCGTGGGGGGGGGGGAGGCGCGGGAGAGGGGGGCGCAGTCTGAGCAGTAAGAACTAGCTATCGGGAAGGCCAGGATCTGGATCAGCTTACACTCCCAGAACCAGCCCACCTGGATGAAATTTGGAGATGAGGAAGGGCTGGGCTGCTGCAAACTTCACCAGGTCGGAGCAGAGCACCTTCCTTACCATAGGAGGAACCAGCTCCAACGGCAGGGATTCTGGGGTCTGTTCTTACGTTTCCAAGAACTTCATGTCCTTGTTGCTAAGAAATGATGTAACTTTACAATTAAATTGTATTTTAAAACAAAGATAACCAAAACGCGCTACTTCCTACTTTTGCATTTTGCCATCATCTGGATTCACAAGCTTATCCACGTCCGTTTGACCCGATTAGTTTCCACACTCCACAACTGGCCTCTTGACTGTGGCCAATGTGGCATCCCTGACAGTCGGTCACTATTTACAATACAGAAACCAGCAAGCCATGCAGGCCACGCGTTGTTCCCTGCGGAAGTAGGTTGTTAACCCATTCTGACAAACTGAACGGACACAGGAAAGGAGAACTTGGCGGAGACTTTTGTTAACTGCTACTGGACTCTCCGTCCACAAGATGGCGCTTAAAACAAAGAAATCTAAACAACACGGCCATCTGGAGGGACTAACCACAGTCTGAGAAACAACTTAAGACCTTAAAAAAAAAGTAAATTCATGGCATCTTTTCATAATTTTCTTCAACTGTGTCCTATAATTTTAGGCTGTGACTATGCACAGTTAACAGCAGTGACATGAATCAAGATAGCCTGACACTTGGCGATGTGTAATACTCTGTGATAAATAATGCAGCCCTGAAACTCCTCCACACAACTCCCAACACCCAGGCATCCCTGCTTCCAGACAAGCTCACTGGCACCAGCACTCCTCTCCAAGACCCTAGAGGCTGTCTTGATGCTTTACAGCTCCCGGGTGTCCGAATCACATCTTGTAACAACACCAGATGATTACAATGGACAGCACAGCAGAGCACTCCTGTGCACAGGCTTTGAAGGCAGACAGAGCAGGACCAGGCTCCTACTAACCACACAGTGCAGGCCTTGATCACCATCATTACGACTGCTTCGGGACTGTGAGGCCTAGACAACACACCACCTTAAAAAGTGCTTAGAGCCCTGTCTAGTGCAGAGCATGTCTTCAAAGAACATTGCCTAGGATTACCATCAGTTCATGTTTTTTTCAATCCGTAGACCCCGGGTCAGGGTTTTCTCCACCTCCTCTTCTCTTCTTTTCTCCATCTTTATCTTGACTGTCTCAATGTCTGTCATCAGCTCAAGGATACAATTGCTCTGCCCGTAACAAGAGGGAATGATGAGGTGCAGTCTAACTGGTCCTAAATCATAGGTTTGTATGACAAAGGGGTGTGCCATATTTTGAAATCATTAAATAGTCCAGAACTGAGCAACTTCCATCCTTTCTTTTGGTCCTTCTTTTGAGTACCCTAGGATTTTGGTCTTGCATGCTGGTTCAAATCATATCACCTGCATGAGAATAACCTAAGATACTTGCTAAAATACAGGTTTCAGGACTAAACCAGTACATTTAACAAGCTTGCTAAACAGTTGTTGTGGATCCTAAAGTTTGAGAGTCCCAGAGCATCCTTAAACATCTAGCCTTGGTCCCTCCACTTGCCGAGCACCTAATCTGTGTAAGATGCTGGAACCAAAGCTAGAAAAGGGAGAGGCTTTCGATCTGCCGCCAAAGTCTGAACATCTACCTTCTGCTTCTGTAGCCATTATTCCAGCCCAGTCAGAGTCCCCGCTGAAATTCTCTCCCAGACCTTCTTTTCCTGCTGGCAGAACCCCAACCTATGTGCTTCAGGGCAGAAGGAACCCCGGGATCCGGCAGCTCTGTTTCCACACACCTGTGTCCAAACCCACCATGCTCTCCTGTGTTGTCACTCGGGGGCTTCCTGAAGTGCTCAGCCCTTGTCTCACCCAGTGTGCATTCTGTTCTAGGCTAGCACATCCTCTCCAAGGAAAGCACACACGGGTTAAAAACCTGACTGCTTTTGCAGAAGATCCAGGTTCAATTCTCAGTACCCACAAGGCAGCTCACAATCATCTGTAACTCCAGTTCCAGAGGGATCGATGTCCTCTTCTGGCTTTCATGAGCCCTGCATACATTGTGCACAGACAATTTGTGTAAGCCAAACACCAATACACATAAAATAAAAATAAGCATTTTTCAAAGTAAATTTTAAAATTTTCAAAAGAAACTGCATCCCTCTGCCTCTCTCTCTTTACCTCTGTCTCTCTCTCACACATGCACACAGACAGATAGACACACACACACACACACACACACACACACACACACACACACACACACACACACATTGACACTCATAAGCCACTCCCCCCAACTCTGGGGAAGTCTCGTTGGCCTTTGATAAAGAATTGAGGTAGAAAACCCTCAAACAAATAACAACGAAAACTAAACTTTCAGAAGCCCAGGTTGTCTCTGCTTTCTGGGTCTCTCCATAGTGTCCTGTTTGACATGAGACAATTTGAGATGTTCCAAAGCAGAGCAAGAACTACCATGAAGACCGGGCCTGCGTTCTGTGAGCAGCCTGGGTATTCCCTCCCCTGCCACTAAAGCCCACACATCTTTTCCTTTTCCAGAGTCTCTAAGTACACACCTTCCATGAGTCCTGCTGAGGTGGACAAGTCCATAGAGATGGCCCTGCGTGCCTGGAGTACCGCAGTCCCTCTGAACTTCATCAGAATAAACTCTGGGGAAGCAGATATCATGATATCTTTTGAAACCGGAGGTATTGTGCTATTTCTTGGGTTCTAGCTCTAAGGCCAAGGAGAATTGCCCCACACTTGCTCCTTTGACAGACTGATGGAGTGATCAGCACAGGGTTCCATCGCACAGTATTGGGATAAGCGAAGGCCAAGACCACAGCAAAGATGGACATCTTGCTAGAAGGTAGAAAGGGGCAATCTTAGCACTGCTTGTCATCTGTAGCCTCCACTGTGGGACAGACTCACTGATGTGCACTTTCACTGTGGCTCTGCCCCAGGAGAGGACAAGTTCTGTCAGCCTTAGTTTTCCCAGTGGCTAGGGGGGCCGGATGACTCCAATGTCCATCACTATTACCTGGTTCCACGTTACCCAATATTCTCCCACCTGGAGTCCCCACTGAGGAAGTCAGTTCCCCAGGGACCTTGTGGTAGCCAGGCCCCCCAGCAATGGTTACAGAAGTAGCATTCAGGTCTTACCCATGCTTGAACACTGCCTTTGGGAAGTACATGTGAAGCTTGCCTCTACCTGCCTGCTTCTCCATTTTCTCACAGCCTGATACCAAGTAGAACATGACTTTGAACATTATTGGTAAAGCTCTGAGTCCTTTGCAGAGACACACATGCAGGAAACAGACACACAGATGAAACAAGAGGCCCCTGAAATTCTCCCCTCCTCAGGTTCCAACAGTGAAGTTGAGTGTCTCTGCCTCTTCCCCTGCCCAGATAATGTTGCTAAGTGCTCGAGGCATTCTGAGCCCTGAGCTTGTTCCAGTCTGATGTTGCTACAGGGAATGTGCTGGGGGAGGGTGGGGAAGGAGGTCAAGAGAGTCATGAAATGGCCTTGGAATCTGGCCCCCGGCAGGTCCCGTTCCTGCCAGGCATCAAGGGCACTTGGTGAAATGGCAGGACATTGTAACTCAAGGTAGGTTCAGGGGCATGGAACTGATCAATGATTCTCTATCTTTCAAACTGGTATTCTGTCCTCAGCACAAAGGCTGACTAGAGTCCAGGCAGCCATCTCAGCATCTCCTCAGACACACAGACCTGATTAAGCTGCATCACCTGAGACCTGAGGAATAGCATACTGAATTTAGGAGTGCTGGCTTTAAAAATGAGTGCAGCCACTCACGTACACACATACAAAGTAAATAAACTTAAAATTAGTGAATGGATTAATAAAATGAAATACCAATTTTTAAGTGAACCAAAAAAGTGAGCATTGTCAGCAGGGCGGCGGTGGCGCACGCCTTTAATCCCAACACTCGGGAGGCAGAGCCAGGTGAATCTCTGTGAGAAACCCTGTCTCAAAAAAAAAAAAAAAAGTGAGCATTGTCACCAGAATCCTGAGAAATCGAGAGCAGTAGCTTCTGCTCCATCCTCCAGATGGTTTCCTCTCCTGTCGAATTTAGAATGCTGTTAACTACAGAGGAGATAAAAAGCACCCAAGGCTTTGGGTGCCAGGATTTTCCTAACCACCTTTACTTTCACAGACTTTACATGTGCAGGTATCAAAGTTAGAAATTCATTTTCTTTTATTTTTTGACACTTAAATTATACTGTGGAAAACAGACAGAAAGCGGGCGTTCAGTTTACTGAAACCCTCTCAGGGGCATCGGATTTTGAAAGCTCTTTATGCCAACAGGTTCATATTGTGATCAGTCAGTGGGCCTGGTTGCTGTCAAATGTCCCTCAGTTCTTTCTCCTTCTTTGATCTGTGCTGTGTGACTGTCTACCATGTGCTGTGTGTGGTGATAAAAACCATTACAACATTCTTATCTGTTTGCAATGTCTCCTTTGAAGTACAAAACAATCTTTTTACTTTTCAACTAGAGAAATGATGTGGCAGTTAAGAGCTCTTGTGCTGTAGTTCCAGCTCCAGGGAAATCTGATGCTCTCTTCTGGCCTCCCTGGGCACTGCACATACTCCCACAGGGACACGCACACATACACATAATTAAAAACAGATCTTTAAGATGAATCTTGAAAAGTGCATTTAAGGGTCAATGTTGTTGAGAATGTTGCCCACTTTCTGTGACCCCAAGAACTACTATGCCTTAATCCGACTGGTGTTTCCTACTTAGATCACGGGGATTCCTACCCATTTGATGGGCCTCGAGGAACTCTGGCCCATGCATTTGCACCTGGAGAAGGCCTGGGAGGAGACACACATTTCGACAATGCTGAGAAGTGGACTATGGGAATGAATGGTATATATGCACAATTCACCATAACCTGGAAACTATTGTACCTTCTTCTGGGCCTCCATCATGAAACCTTGAGGTTCAACGTTCCAAGCCACCCTTTAACTAGGGGGGCTGGCTAGGAAAAACAAGTAAGCCAAAAATCCAGAAGGGAACACACAGGGGAAGACCTTCCCACACTGATGCTATAGACTAGACTGCTCTCTGTTTCTTGGCATTTAATCTACAGAACCAATCCCATCTCAATGCACAGCTTACTTCTCAATCAGGTGTACAAGATTTATGGCTCTTTACCTGTATGTGGAAATAGACTATATTTAAAAATGACCCCAGGAAATGAATTAGTACTCCCCTGAGGAGTGTGATGGGGGAGGGTATAAAGTTCCCAGAATGTCATGTGAATCATCTGAAACATAAAACACGATTGAAAAAGGAAACTGGTACACCTCACACACTTAGGTACAGTTATTAGAACTCACGCTTTGATGTCAATTAAATTAGAATCTCAATTCCTGGCTCCATCAATTGCTAACTTTAACCATGGGTAAATTATTTCAAGTCTCTGAACCTAGCTCCTCACAGCATTAATTAAAATGTTAAATGTGTATAATACTGAGTTGTATGAAAACAGATTTATTTTAAAGTCTTCTTTAACCTTCCCATAACTGAATTCAGTTTTATGTATAAGCCCTTAATTTGCCTATAGCAGAAGATAATTTGACTGCATTGTACTACATTCAATTTCTATTCAGTGATTTTTTTTCATATAACCAATTTATAGTATCAAAATGGAGTAGGCTGTAAAAGCAGAACGTGATCCAAATCTATGCATTGTAAATTTCATCACCACTACTAGCTGCAAGACCTCTATCACACATGGCCGACAGTGGGAGACTGGATTGTTTTACATTTCCCCCTGACCCATCCCCCCAAATGGTGAAGGAACCAAAGAGACTAAAGACAGGAAAGCCGAGTGCTAGACGAGCCGACCAGCCTCTGAATCTGGGTATGAGAAGGAGAGCTAACTGTGATGTGGGCGCAGACTCTCCTGTCAGACAAATGACAAAAACAAACTGTGTTGATGCTTTCTCTCTGCTGCTGTCTAGGGTTCAACTTATTCACCGTCGCTGCTCATGAGTTTGGCCATGCTCTGGGCCTGGGCCACTCCACAGACCCATCAGCACTGATGTACCCAACTTACAAGTACCAGAACCCCTATAGGTTTCATCTCCCCAAGGACGACGTGAAAGGGATTCAAGCATTATACGGTA